CAGAAGTGATGACTGCAGGACTGGGCAATGCCTACCTCAGTGGCCAGGGACTCAAATCTGCAGTCAAGGTCCCCCTGCTTAAGCAGATGTCCAGCCCGTCTGAAGTTGCTAGAGTGCATTTGATGATCCAGAGAAGATGGGAGAATGTCATATGTCAGATGAACCAAATAGAACTTTTTGGTAAAAAACTCAACTCGTCGTGTTTGGAGGACAAAGAATGCTGAGTTGCATCCAAAGAACACCATACCTACTGTGAAGCATGGGGGTGGAATGATCATGCTTTGGGGCTGTTTTTCTGCAAAGGAACCAGGACGACTGATCCGTGTAAAGGAAAGAATGAATGGGGCCATGTATCGTGAGATTTTGAGTGAAAACCTCCTTCCATCAGCAAGGGCATTGAAGATGAAACGTGGCTGGGTCTTTCAGCATGACAATGATCCCAAACACACCGCCCGGGCAACGAAGGAGTGGCTTCGTAAGAAGCATTTCAAGGTCCTGGAGTGGCCTAGCCAGTCTCCAGATCTCAACCCCATAGAAAATCTTTGGAGGGAGTTGAAAGACCGTGTTGCCCAGCGACAGCCCCAAAACATCACTGCTCTAGAGGAGATCTGCATGGAGGAATGAGCCAAAATACCAGCAACAGTGTGTGAAAACCTTGTGAAGACTTACAGAAAACGTTTGACCTGTGTCATTGCCAACAAAGGGTATATAACAAAGTATTGAGAAACTTTTGTTATTGACCAAATACTTATTTTCCACCATAATTTGCAAATAAATTCATAATAAATCCTACAATGTGATTTTCTGGATTTTTTTCTCATTTTGTCTGTCATAGTTGATGAAAATTACAGGCCTCTCTCATCTTTTTAAGTGGGAGAACTTGCACAATTGGTGGCTGACTAAATACTTTTTTCCCCCACTGTATATCCACAGTAAAACGAGTCCTATATCGACATAACCTGAAAGGCCGCTCAGCAAGGAAGAAGCCACTGCTCCAAAACCGCCATAAAAAAGCCAGTCTACGGGTGCAACTGCACATGGGGAAAAATATTGTACTTTTTGGAGAAATGTCCTCTGGTCTGATGAAACAAAAATATAACTGTTTGGCCATAATGACCATCGTTATGTTTGGAGGAAAAATGGGGAGGCTTGCAAGCCGAAGAACACCATCCCAACCGTGAAGCATGGGGGTGGCAGCATCATGCTGTGGGGGTGCTTTGCTGCAGGAGGGACTGGTGCACTTCACAAAATAGATGTCATCATGAGGAAGGAAAATTATGTGGATATATCGAAGCAACATCTCAAGACATCAGTCAGGAAGTTAATGCTTGGTCGCAAATGGGTCTTCCAAATGGACAAGCATACTTCCAAAGTTGTGGCAAAATGGCTTAAGGACAACAAAGTCAAGGTATTGGAGTGGCCATCACAAAGCCCTGACCTCAATCCTATAGAAAATGTGTGGGCAGAACTGAAAAAGCGTGTGCGAGCAAGGAGGCCTACAAACCTGACTCAGTTACACCAGCTCTGTCAGGAGAAATTAGCCAAAATCCACCCAACTTATTGTGTGAAGCTGGTGGAAGGCTACCCGAAACATTTGACCCAAGTTAAACAATTTAAAGGCAATGCTACCAAATACTAATTGAGTGTATGTAAGCTTCTGACCCACTGGGAATGTGATGAAAGAAATAAAAGCTGAAATAATCATTCTCTCTACTATTATTCTGACATTTCACATTCTTAAAATAAAGTGGTGATCCTAACTGACCTAAAACAGGGAATTTGTACTAGGATTAAATGTTAGGAATTGTGAAAAACTGAGTTTAAATGTATTTGGCTAAGGTGTATGTAAACTTCCGACTTCAACTGTATGCATAACTGACCAAATTTTGAATTCCGTAAAGTGAGTGTGGAAGAAGTGAAAAAAGTATTGTTTTCTATCAACAATGACAAGGCACCTGGGTCTGACAACATGGATGGAAAATGACTGAGGATGATAGTGGACGATATTGCCACTCCTATTTGCCATGTCTTCAATCTAAGCCTATAGGAAAGTGTGTTCCCTCAGGCCTGGAGGGAAGCAAAAGTCACCCTTTACTGGCTCAAACAGCCGGCCAATCAGCCTTTTACCAACACTTAGTAAACTTTTGGAAAAAATTGTGTTTGACCAGATACAATGCTATTTCATAGTAAACAAATTAACAACAGATTTTCAGCACTTATAAGGAGGGCACTCAACATGTACGGCACTTACACAAATGACTGATGATTGGTTGAGTGAAGTTCATAATACAAATATTGTGGGAGCTGTTTTGTTAGACTTCAGTGCAGCTTTTGACATTATGGATCATAATCACCTGCTGGAAAAACTTGTGTTATGGCTTTACATCCCCTGCTATATTGTGGATCGAGAGTTACCTGTCTAACAGAACACAGAGGGTGTTCTTTAATGGAAGCCTCTCCAACATAATCCAGGTAGAGTCAGGCATTCCCTAGGTCAGCTGTCTAGGCCCCTTACTTGTTTCTATATTTACTAATGACCTGGCACTGGCTCTGTGTAAAGCATGTGTGTCTGTGGACTGTATCTTGATGACTCAATACTATACACATCAGCTACCACAGCAAGTAAAATCACTGCAACACTTAAAGAGCTGCAGTTAGTTTCAGAATGGGTGGCAAGAATTAAGTTGGTCCTAAATATTTCAAAAACTAAAAGCAGTGTATTTGGGACAAATCATTCACTAAACCCTAAACCTCAACTAAATCTTTTTATGAATAATGTGGAAATTGAGCAAGTTAAGGAGACTAAACTGCTTGGAGTAACACTGGATTATAAACTGTCATGGTCAAAACATATTGATGCAACAGTAGCTAAAATGGGGAGAGGTCTGTCCATAATAAAGTGTAGTAGCCTGAGGGCACACACTTAATGTGTTGTGAAATCTGTTGTGAAATATATTGTAATGTTTTTTAAATTGTATAGCTGCCTTAATTTTGCTGGACCCCAGGAAGAGTAGCTGCTGCCTTGGCAGGAACTAATGGGCATCCATAATAAATACAAATACAAAATACTCCCTTAAAATACCTTTGCTTGATAAATGAGAAAAAAGCAGAAATATTACTGTTTGTCCCTCTTGAGACGCCGTAACAACCACATAGCCAATAACACTTCCTTAAAATAGTCTGAATTAATCTAAAATAAATCAAGAAATATGAAATCAATTGACGTTTTTGTTGAGGTCTTAGTCGCGAAATGTTACATCAAACTAAGATGTTTGGTGCAGTATTTCTGAAGTGAAAAACTTTGCATGAAAACTAGTCGTCTCGTTGAATGACAACACTTCATTGAAGAATCCCATCCATAGTTCCCACTCCTACTAAGAGTACTGTTGACCAATCACCGACGAAGAGGCGTAGACTTCGGCTACTGAACTTCGACTTGCCTCAAGAAAAAATGCCGAACACCAAAACAAACAAAAACGTCACAAAATGTTGTTATAATATATGCGCAAACTGTTTCAACTGGGAAGCATGGGACATGCTTAAGCCGGTAAAACCCTGCATCAATGAGTTGTTGGTCCAGACCAGACTGTGTTCAATGCTGCCCCCTGGTGTTTGTTTACACAGCAGCAACCAGACCAGGCCTAGACCTCCTTCTGACATACTGACTGGATGCTCTTCCATCTGACTAGTCTCCAGCTGCGTGTCTTTTGCTCTGTTGTATTCTGGTGTTTCTGTTCTATTGTTGCTATAGTTGTAAATCCTACAGTAATTTACTGATTTTTCGTTGATCTTGATGTGCCAGTGCCTCACTGCCTTTGGTATTTAATATTTGATGATGTGTCATTGCCACTCACGGTTGTCTTGTGATTTATTTCCTGTGTTTGTGTGTGTGTCTACCTGACTGACTGTGTGTGCGTCTGCCTGTGTGTTTGTGTGTGTGTTCCAGATGACGTGCTGGCCAGGGATGCCGGGGAGTGTGTAATCTGTCTGGAGGAGCTGCAGCAAGGAGACACCATCGCCAGACTGCCGTGCCTCTGCATCTATCACAAAAGGTGAGACGGCGGGACTACTCAAATGGCACCCTATCCCTTATATAGTGAACTACTTTTGACTAGGGCCAATAGGGGGCTCTGGTCAAAAGTAGTGCACCACAGGAAATAGGGTGCCATTTTAGGACGCACCCTCAGACTCAGCTTAGATCCTGGTCCTGACTGTACAATACGCACGCAGGCTCACAGGATTACACACAGCCTGAAATTACTCCACTAGATTAATTATACACAATACATTTAGGCCTCAGCGATGTACTGTAGCTAAGGCCAGAGAGATATGTGCATTCATGTGATGATGGTGGGGGTTTCTCCTCTTCCTGTTCAGCTGTATAGACTCCTGGTTTGAGATCAATCGTTCCTGCCCTGAGCATCCTTCAGACTGACTGACCTCTGTGCTCCTACTCCTACTGTTCAAGGTGAGAGCATCTCCTCACCTCCATCTCTTCCACACAAGAGACTGGTGACAGGAGGTGTTTAGAAGAACATTATGATCCAAATAGCCCACTCACTCGCTGCATAATGCATACATACGCAGTACGCACAGATATAACCACCCTCAATAAAAGTAACATTCTTAGTCAGTGTGAAGCTAGAGCATACTGTAAGTGTGAATTATGCATTCAAAATAACCTTCTCACCTGACTTTGTGTATCCACTTTAATGTATGGTTAACATCTCCCCTCCATTTCTCTCTTTATCTGTCAGGGCACTTTATGTTCCTACCATGGATATCTGGACACTGAAGTAACCAAATAACGAAACAATCAAAACAACCTATCTATCAATTGATCTATCAATCTATCAAGAGAATTCCTAGCGAACGGAACCAAAATAAAAAACCTTAAGCTAATACTGTCACTTCCACATGCATAAAAGAGTGCCCCTCCTCCCTGCCCCTTCTCCTCCAGCACTAGAGACTGCTAACTGCCAGTCCCTCTGTCGGCCCAACTAGGCTGACCATCCCTCCAGGCCAACTGCCTCACCAGGCTGCTTGGCCCCCCCAGCCAGCCAGTCACCCCGCCACATGCCCTGGTCCTCTCTGGGCTCCTCCGGGGATCTGGCCCCTGCTCTGCTCTGCCTTCCATTCTGCCTCCAGAGTTTGGCCCTGACTGGCTCCCTGTCACTCATCTGGATCCAGCCATCCCATGGCCTTCACCAGGAAGAGACTGAGGAGGAGAATGAAGATAAAGAGAAAGATGAAGAGGAAGGAATCGAGCTGGATGCACCCTGTGTGCCAGGGCAGGGTCGACTCCCAGGACGTTGTCTGATAATGCGACAAAAGGCTTTCCCCCAATCACCAGAGTTTCAGCACCCACCCACCCACCCACCCAATCATTAGTTGGAGACACATGCGCTTATCTTAGTCTTTGCTTTGAGGTGGAGTAGCGATGTGTGAAGTGCAGCATTGGTGGGGCAGGCAGGGTCTGTCTATGTAGGTTTCTGTTTGGGTTATGTCTGTTTGGGTTGTGTGTGTGTGTGTGTGTGTGTGTGTGTGTGTGTGAAGGGGTGTAGTTAATGCTTCTATATATGTCAGGGCAGTGAAAATGTCAGACAGACTACACTTGTTCTGTGTGCGTTAGTATGTGGAGGGGTACGTCGTTTAAGCTTGGTGGTGGGTGAATGTGTGTGTGTGAGTGTGCTTGTGTGTCGTGGGGGACAGTTGGGGGTCGTTGGTTTATGTTTTTCTATGTTCTGGGGCCGTGAGGATGATGTCTGTAAGCATACATGTTGTGTGGTTGAGGTTGGGGTGATGATGCAGCCATCTCTGTAGTGTGAGAGCCTGATTTGCTAAAGGATCAAATAGAAGTCTGAGACAATACTATGTGTTGGTCTGTGTTTGAAATGTTTACAATTTAGATGTCCATTTTCCCTGTGTGAATGTGGTATCGCTCCCTTTATTTTGCTAATGTTTACAGTTACATAAAATCGACATGACATACACACTCTTTCTCCTTGTTTTTGTCCACCCGTTTTTTCTGCGATGGGGAGACACTGATCAGAATTAGTAATTTCCCTGTAAGGGCCTTGAGTGTGTTCATGTGTGTGTATGTGTGTACTGTATGTATGTGTGTATGTATGTATGTATATATGTATTTATGTATGTACAGTACCAGTCAAAAGTTTGGACACACCTACTTATTCAAGGGTTTTTCTTTATTTTTACTATTTTCTACATTGTAGAATAATAGTGAAGACATCAAAACTATGAAATAACACATATGGAATCATGTAGTAACCAAAGAAGTGTTAAACAAATGAAAATATATTTTTTTATATTTGAGATTCTTCAAATAGCCACCCTTTGCCTTGATGACAGCTTTGCACACTCTTGGCATTCTCTTACCCAGCTTCACCTGGAATGCTTTTCCAACAGTCTTGAAGGAGTTCCCACATATGCTGAGCACTTGTTGGCTGCTTTTCCTTCACTCTGCCGTCCGACTCATCCCAAACCATCTCAATTGGTTTGAGGTCGGGGGATTTTAGAGGCCAGGTCATCTGATGCAGCACTCTATCACTCTCCTTCTTCGTAAAATAGTCCTTACACAGCCTGGAGGTGTGTTGGGTCATTGTCCTGTTGAAAAACAAATGATAGTCCCACTGAGCCCAAACCAGATGGGATGGCGTATCGCTGCAGAATGCTGTGGTAGCCATGCTCGTTAAGTATGCCTTGAATTCTAAAGAAATCACAGACAGTGTCACCAGCAAAGCACCCCCACACCACAACACCTCCTCCTCCATGCTTTACTGTGGGAACTACACATGCAGGGATCATCCGTTCACCCTCACCGTGTCTCACAAAGACACGGCAGTTGGAACCAAAAATCTCAATTTTGGACTCCAGACCGAAGGACAAATTTCCACCGGTCTAATTGCTCATGTTTCTTGGCCCAAGCAGGTGTCTTCTTCTTACTGGTGAATCGACCATGAAGGCCTGATTCACACAGTCCCCTCTGAACAGTTGATGTTGAGATGTGTCTGTTACTTGAACTCTGTGAAGCATTTATTTGGGCTGCAATTTCTGAGGCTGGTAACTCTAATGAACTTATCCTCTGCAGCAGAGGTAACTCTGTGTCTTCCATTCTTGTGGCGGTCCTCATGAGAGCCAGTTTCATGCTAGTGATTGATGGTTTTTGCGACTGCACTTTAAGAAATGTTCAAAGTTCTTGAAATGATCCGTATTGACTGACCTTCATGTCTTAAAGTAATGATGGACTGTCGTTTCTCTTTGCTTATTTGAGCTGTTCTTGCCATAATATGGACTTGGTCATTTACCAAATAGGGCTATCTTCTGTATACCCCCCCTACCTTGTCACAACACAACTGATTGACTCAAACGCATTAAGAAGGAAAGAAATTCCACAAATTAACGTTTAAGAAGGCACACCTGTTAATTGAAATGCATTCCAGGTGACTACTTCATGAAGCTGGTTAAGAGAATGCCAAGAGTGTGCAAAGCTGTCATCAAGGCAAAGGGTGGCTATTTGAAGAATCTCAAATATAAAATATATTTAGATTTGTGTAACACTTTTTTGGTTAGTACATGATTCCATATGTGTTATTTCATAGTTTGATGTCTTCACTATTATTCTACAATGTAAAAAATAGTAAAAATAAAGAAAAACCCTTGAATGAGTAGGTGTGTCCAAACTTTTGACTGGTAGTGTATGTATGTATGTATGTGTGTATGTGTGTATGTATGTATGTATGTGTGTATGTATGTATGTGTGATGCCTCTTGGTCTAAGCTACTGTCTGTGCCCGACATGTTTTCTGCTGAAATAGGTCAGGTCCTCTCTGGTTGTGTTGGCTGATGTGACTTAATGTAATGGACGTGTTAAAGACCCATCAACCCAAACATGACAGTCACATCATGGAGCTATTCCGGGGTTACAACTTATTTATTCACATTTAACAAGATTTGTTGTTCCAAATCTGTCAGAAAACGTACATTACTCTTCAGAATGCCTCTAATGTATAAAGAATAACAGAATGATGATTCTGGAAGAAAACAAACTAACAGTGCTCAACAAATGGGTGAATATTTTTCCATTTGTGCTAGATGAAAATGTAGAGAATATAGTATTTTTGCAGGGTTATCTGCTTCTTACCTGTGAGGGCACTACAAAACCATTCATTAGCAAGCAGACAACCACCAAGCTTCAACTGAACAAGGAACACAGGGGAGACCGACTACTAGTCAGTTATGATATAGTATACTATATAACTTAATGTCTCCTGCTAACTGTATCCCTGCCTGACTCTGCTAAAGGACCATATACCTTCATTTCTTGCTTTATTTAATGTAATGTTTTTTGATGACGTTTTTTTTCCAAGGATGTGAATGGGTGCCTGTTTTGGAGGTACCAACTAATTGTCTGATGATTTTGATGTGCAATCTGTGGGATGAGTAATGATAATGATATATATATATATATATATATATATATATATATATATATATATAGATAATAAAAAAAGTCTAAATAATCATGCTTTTTCATGTAATTTCTTTAACTACATTCAGGCCTAAATGTTAAGTTGAACAAATCTACTCAATAAATAATGGTGTGCTAATACTTATCATTAAGCTACTTTGTTGACCCTATTTCAAGGCATCGGTTAAGATTGTCTTAAAAGGCAAAAGCTGTGTTCTCTTCTGTCCTGGATAGATTGATGGATTCTCTTGAGGAGAAAACTGGGATCACTCCTGTGACCACTTACAGGTGTTAATGCTCTGTTGCATAAAGCCTGGGTTGTTTTTCTCTAGTCTCGTTGGCTTCTCTCAACACGTGACCACTGAGCAAATCAGATTGTAAGAAGAAATCTTTAGAGACATGAGCAACTTCACCATGTCAATATAAAAAAATACTTAACTGTCCATCAGAAGGGGCCATTTACAGTTTAAATACAGTATGCACATATCAACGGCACAAAATAGAGCAGAAACCAAATGCAAACCGATGGATTTAGTTCATTACAAATAGTCAATAAATAATTTCAAGCCATACAGTTGTGTTGTAATAAAATCTAAAGAAGCATTTAATTCAGAGGAACTTAAGAGAAAAAACAGAGGACAGACAAAAATAACACAATTTGCCCTTGGTACTCGTTAGTCACTCACAGTATAAAAACAATTATACCAAACACCTGACACCCGGTGGCAGACAGAGGTAATGCATCCATAAGTAGTACACTTCATTCCTTTATTCAGTGCCCTGTGATAAGGTGATAGCTTCAGTACCTTCAGCTACAGCACCTTCCCAGGTCCTGCATGACCTCCATGGCAAGTGGTCCCATCTCCTCACGAAGCAACACTCGTTTCCCCAGGCCCACCCCGTGCTCCCCTGTACATGTCCCGTCCAGTGCCAGTGCTTTCCTACAGGGTGAGAGAGAAACAGAGAAATATGAAGACAGGGATAAGAGAGAATGAGTTCCATGGTAAGGGACAAGGGGCCGATCAATGACGAGGTATAGGAAAAAAACGAGGGAGAAAATATAGAGGAAAGAGAGACCTACAGTACCTGGCCAGTCTCTCAGTGAACTCTAGTGGGCTGTGTCGTAGCCGGCCGCGACCGGGAGACCCATGGGGGCGGCGCACAATTGGCCCAGCGTCGTCCAGGGTAGGGGAGGGAATGGCTGGCAGAGCTGTAGCTCAGTTAGTAGAGCATGGCGTTTGCAATGCCAGGGTTGTGGGTTCGATTCCCACGGGGGGCCAGTATGAAAAAATTAAACAAATAAAAAAACAAATAATAATGTATGCACTCACTAACTGTAAATCGCTCTGGATAAGAGCATCTGCTAAAATGACAAAAAAAAAAAATGTAGTGACCTCATCCTGGAAATTTCCATCTCCAACATGACCCACGATCAGACCTCAGGAGAGAAAGAAGCTGTAATACACTACTGTTCACACACAAACATATACAGCAGTTCCCCAACTGGTGGCCCGCAGGTGGTTTTATTTGGCCCCTCCAGTTTTCTGAGCAAATTATTATTATTATTATTATTATTATTATTATTATTATACTTATATATTTTTAAAATGTTAATTGTTGGACATAAAATACTGTAAAAACACCAGGAAATCAGCACCAAGTGATTTACATTTTTGAAAATCTGTTCCCAAGTATTCTCACACATAATAGAGAGACGTGGTCGTATACAAATGTAAGCAAGTTTAGTTTTAAATATTAAAATATTATATCTGTTTGGGCTTCTTGCGGTCAATTTGACATCTACAAATTATTTGTAATTATGTTCCGGCCCCATGACCATCCGCTCAAGAAAAAAATTGTCCCGCGGCTGAATCTAGTTGATGATCCCTGATGTACAATAACATGAGTGATGCCCCAAGAGGGAATCTGTGGTGAGTGTTAGCTAGCCGTTACCTATGAGTCTGTTTAGTATCAGGTCCTCCTTGGTTTCCACAATATTTTGAGGGAGGCGAGAGAGAGGGACGCACACATCTGTGGAGTAGGCCTGCAGGATCAAAATGGAGTCAACACATTTCTGTTACAGTGAGGGAAAAAAGTATTTGATCCCCTGCTGATTTTGTACGTTTTCCCACTGACAAAGAAATGATCAGTCTTTAATTTTAATGGTAGGTTTATTTGAACAGTGAGAGACAGAATAACAACAAAAAATCCAGAAAAACGCATGTCATAAATGTTATAAATTTATTTGCATTTTAATGAGGGAAATGAGTATTTGACCCCCTCTCAATCAGAAAGATTTCTGGCTCCCAGGTGTCTTTTATACAGGTAATGAGCTGAGATTAGGAGCACACTCTTAAAGGGAGTGCTCCTAATCTCAGCTTGTTACCTGTATAAAAGACACCTGTCCACAGAAGCAATCAATCAATCAGATTCCAAACTCTCCACCATGGCCAAGACCAAAGAGCTCTCCAAGGATGTCAGGGACAAGATTGTAGACCTACACAAGGCTGGAATGGGCTACAAGACCATCGCCAAGCAGCTTGGTGAGAAGGTGACAACAGTTGGTGCGATTATTCGCATATGGAAGAAACATAAAATAACTGTCAATCTCCCTCGGCCTGGGGCTCCATGCAAGATCTCACCTCGTGGAGTTGCAATGATCATGAGAACGGTGAGGAATCAGCCCAGAACTACACGGGAGGATCTTGTCAATGATCTCAAGGCAGCTGGGACCATAGTCACCAAGAAAACAATTGGTAACACATTACGCCATGAAGGACTGAAATCCTGCAGCGCCCGCAAGGTCCCCCTGCTCAAGAAAGCACATATACAGGCCTGTCTGAAGTTTGCCAATGAACATCTGAATGATTCAGAGGAGAACTGGGTGAAAGTGTTGGGTCAGATGAGACCAAAATGGAGCTCTTTGGCATCAACTCAACTCGCCGTGTTTGGAGGAGGAGGAATGCTGCCTATGACCCCAAGAACACCATCCCCACCGTCAAACATGGAGGTGGAAACATTATGCTTTGGGGGTGTTTTTCTGCTAAGGGGACAGGACAACTTTACCGCATCAAAGGGACGATGGACGGGGCCATGTACAGTCAAATCTTGGGTGAGAACCTCCTTCCCTCAGCCAGGGCATTGAAAATGGGTCGTGGATGGGTATTCCAGCATGACAATGACCCAAAACACACGGCCAAGGCAACAAAGGAGTGGCTCAAGAAGAAGCACATTAAGGTCCTGGAGTGGCCTAGCCAGTCTCCAGACCTTAATCCCATAGAAAATCTGTGGAGGGAGCTGAAGGTTCGAGTTGCCAAACGTCAGCCTCGAAACCTTAATGACTTGGAGAAGATCTGCAAAGAGGAGTGGGACAAAATCCCCCCTGAGATGTGTGCAAACCTGGTGGCCAACTACAAGAAACGTCTGACCTCTGTGATTGCCAACAAGGGTTTTGCCAGCAAGTACTAAGTCATGTTTTGCAGAGGGGTCAAATACTCATTTCCCTCATTAAAATGCAAATCAATTTATAACATTTTTGACATGCGTTTTTCTGGATTTTTTTGTTGTTATTCTGTCTCTCACTGTTCAAATAAACCTACCATTAAAATTATAGACTGATCATGTCTTTGTCAGTGGGCAAACGTACAAAATCAGCAGGGGATCAAATACTTTTTTCTCTCACTGTACATCAACACTGGATCAGTCATTTCAAACAACAATGCCAAAGTGATTATAGATTATTTATCAATAATGATCCAAGTCATGTTATTCCTCACCTTGCAGCCCAGTCTCATTGCCAGGGCAGCATACCAGGCATTGTGTCGTATCTTCCACAGACGCCTGCGGGTCTCTGCATCCCGTGCCCAGGTAAAGTCTGACCCATCGTTAGCCTGCGTGATCTCCTCTAGACACACCACAACAAGTAGTTTCCCATCAACAAATTAGAAGAAATCTCACTCTCACAGGTCACAATGACAGTCTGGAGGACCTGCACGGTGCTGTCCACTGTTGCCTGGACAGAGGGGAAGGTGCACACAGGAGATACCATGGCCTCTGGCACCCAATAGAGATGCAGGGTGGTCTTAGTGATCACCCCCAGAGTGCCCTCTAAACCCACAAACAGGTTGGTTCTAACGGAGAGGAGGGAAGGTCAAAGGTCATACAGGTCCTCATTACTGGTGGAATTACAGAAAGAAGAATTACAGCACCACCTCCAGGTTGAGTACGTTCTCCCGCATGGTGCCGTATCGCACAGTGTTGGTGCCTGATGCACTGGTGGCAGCCATGCCACACAGAGACACATCTGCACCAGGGTCTGTGTGTGGAGGCAGACAGTAGACAACCTCAGTGATTTCATACCTAACACTTCACAAATATGCTTCACAACTTAGAGTGCAAAACGCAAGCTAGAATGACAATCATGCTATACCACTGTGCATGAAAGTAGTTTGTATGATTACTTAGACCAGGGGTTCCCAAAATGTTTCACCCAGGGACTCCTATTTCACAATAGAAAAACATTTAACTTAAATTCACAATGATTAACTCGGCGTGTATTTAGTGACAGGCATGTTGGGCCGCCAGTTGGTGCAGTGACATCATTGCAGGTCACGTGACTCACTGACAGGAAACCACAGACCTGTGTATCTTAGGTAGGAGTTGAGGCCCTTGCATGTCACACCTGGCCCCACACTCACATCAAAGTCCTCCTGATAGATGTCCAACACCTTATCCATGTTCCCAGACTAAAACACACCCCGCCCTGACATACGCACACATGCACACATGCACACACACACACACACACACACAGTTGAGTACAGGCAGTGCAAGACCTCTCACACACACTCCAACTAACTGTGTGAGAATCAAAAAACGTCAACATGACTTATTACTGCTTTTACACAAAACAAGCTAACTCTTGTGTGAGAAAAATCACGTATTTACTTGATTTGTTTAATATTAATAGTTAACAATTAATATGCTTAACAATAGTAGAGACATTTCTTAACTACCAATGCTGTGCTTTTCATAAATATGGTTCCCTCTAGCTCCCTGCAGCTGGTCTGGGCGCGAAGTCAAGGACATGGGACAGAGATAAACTTGAGGAACAGATAGACCTGTATTGTTTCAATTTCTCGTTGCTTCTGAGTAACCTGGTCACACGGTCAAGACAAAGAGCCTCAGAGTGACCACAGTTTTTCAGTTCATCCTGTCTTTTACTATCTTCCAAGGGCACAGCTGTGTGGAGATATGGGCAGTAACGGAGCTAACGTTATCACTTGTTTGTGCGTTATGACCCGATACACATAGCCACAAGAAGAAAACAAGGTAGCTCCTGATCTGCCGGGGAGGGTTGGAACCAGCCATCACTAAGCATTTGTAGGTTCACTATATAAGACGTCAGCATTTCCTGTTCGTTGGGCTCTCACTCTACTCACTTTGGTGTGGGTATTGTGACCAGCTCCCTTATCAATACGTTTTTAATAAAGTTAATATTCTGATTGGTGATTGACCTTGTCTCTCCTCATTATTGATTAAAATATCCACCACACTCACTTTCTCTAGTAGTCTTTTTCTCTCTATAAAGTCACAGAGAGATTAATCAAACTTGCCAGACGGTGGTATTTATCTGTTTCTCTCTGACACAGACTGATTCTTTCCTCACCTTAAGTGCACCCACTCCGTCCTCGAGGCCTGTGCCCATGCCAAAGGGGATGATGGGTAGGCGGTGGTGGTGGCAGATATTGGCGAGGGCACTGACCTCCTCCACACTGCGCGGCCACTACAGTCATGGTCAAAAGTTTTGAGAATGACACAAATATTAATTTTCACAAAGTCTGCTGCCTCAGTTTTTATGATGGCAATTTGCATATACTACTGAATGTTATGAAGAGTGATCAGATGCATTTCATTTAATTGCAAAGTCCCTCTTTGCCATGAAATTGAACTTAATCCCCAAAAAATATTTCCACTGCATTTCAGCCCTGCCACAAAAGGACCAGCTGACATCATGTCAGTGATTCTCTCGTTAACACAGGTGAGAGTGTTGACGAGGACAAGGCTGGAGATCACGCTGTCATGCTGATTGAGTTAGAATAACAGACTGGAAGCTTTAAAAGGAGGGTGGTGCTTGAAATCATTGTTCTTCCTCTGTTAACCATGGTTACCTGCAAGGAAACACGTGCCGTCATCATTGCTTTGCACAAAAAGGGCTTCACACGCAAGGCTATTGCTGCTAGTAAGATTGCACCTAAATCAAACATTTATCGGATCGTCAAGAACTTCAAGGAGAGAGGTTCAATTGTTGTGAAGAAGGCTTCAGGGCGCCCAAGAAAGTCCAGCAAGCGCCAGGATCATCTCCTAAAGTTGATTCAGCTGCGGGATCGGGGCACCACCAGTGCAGAGCTTGCTCAGGAATGGCAGCAGGCAGGTGTGAGTGCATCTGCACACACAGTGAGGCGAATACTTTTGGAGGATGGCCTGGTGTCAATAAGGGCAGCGAGGAAGCCACTTCTCTCCAGGAAAAACATCAGGGACAGACTGATATTCTGCAAAAGGTACAGGGATTGGACTGCTGAGGACTGGGGTAAAGTCATTTTCTCTGATGAATCCCCTTTCCGATTGTTTGGGGCATCCGGAAAAAAGCTTGTCCGGAGAAGACAAGGTGAGCGCTACCATCAGTCCTGTGTCATGCCAACAGTAAAGCATCCTGAGACCATTCATGTGTGGGGTTGCTTCTCAGCCAAGGGAGTGGGCTCACTCACAGCCATGAATAAAGTATGGTACCAACACATCCTCCGAGAGCAACTTCTCCCAACCATCCAAGAACAGTTTGGTGACGACCAATGCCTTTTCCAGCATGATGGAGCACCTTGCCATAAGGCAAAAGTGATAACTAAGTGGCTCGGGGAACAAAACATTGACACAAGGAGATCCCAATGCCCCAGGGCAGTGAAGGGGACATTACCATGCGTAGGGTGCCGTCTTTCGGAACAGACATTAAACGGGTGTTCTGACTCTCTGTGGTCATTAAAAATCCCAACCTGGCCCCATTCCATCATGGCCACCTAATCATCCCCCTCATTCCTAATTGGCACGTATCACTCCTCACCTCTCCACATAATAACTGATGTGTGGTGAGCGTTCTGGCACAAAAATGGTCACTGTGCATCACCCAGGTGGATGCCACACGTTGGTCGTGGATGAGGTGAGTTTCCCCTTTACTATGTAAAGTGCTTTGAGTACCTCAGTTGGTAGAAAAGCGCTATGTAAATCCAATCAATTAATTAATTACATTGCTAGACATGACCGCCTTGTCGACCTGATAGCCAGCGAGGTGAGACAGGTAGTCTCACCAACAGCACACATCCATAAACATTTGTGTGTAAGAGGAAGCTGGTTTGATGTTGATAATTACGTGTTTTCCTGTGTGCCAAATACACCAGATGTTATTGTTGTGGGGGGAAGCCAGAGGGAGGTGCTCATTTTGGAAGTGGGCTGCTCATTTGACCTGACATGGAGCAGGCCTTTGCCGAAAAGCTTCTTAAATACCAGCCCCTCGCACGCTTGGACAGCCTCGGGTGTAGGTGCAAGCTGGCGACGCTGATATTTGGCAGTCTCGGCCATGTACACAGGCTTGCAGTGCGTGGCCTCCAGATTGCGGGCCTGCCAAAGACTAGGGCAAAGCAGTTGACTAGGTACTAGGTACTGTTTCAGCTGTCGTGGGCAGCTTGGCTGTTCGGAAAAGGAGGTGCTTTCTGAACCCTTGAGTGTCCATGCATACAGGGACCTTTGAAATGTTTGGATCTTTTTTAAAATGTACATTTGATTGGTGGATTCAAATAAAGTGTGTGTGTGAGTGTGAGTGAGTGAGACAGGACAGGACACACCTGCTCTGTGCCAGACGGTTGAGCTCACATGTTTACAGATTTGTCTCTGCCATGTTGCTGCCGAACTGCGTCACTCAAGGATATTCAATCTTCACCACACAAAGAGAGGAATGCAGGATCACCCGCTCCTACTCACCACTCTAACACAGGGACACACACAAATAATAGCTTAATAATATTTCATCCGTACTTGAACAAAGGGACTATACAAGAACCACATAGGCTTATTGGACTTGTGATGAACTGCACTGAATTGTTCAAGTGTATAGCTTGCTTCTATAGACATTATAGGCTGAAAGGTGAAAAAACATTATATTAATATATTATAAGCCGTAAAAAATATATGTTTGTAAGAAGAAATCTGTTGACAAGTTCCAAAATTGACAAACTACAAAAGATGCTGCATGACAAGGAGGGCCACTTATTTTCAGCACCTTATTGAGATAGGGGGCAGAGGACACATTTTTCCCACACAGTGTTGTTGCAAGTTGCGTCTAGGCTATTAGCCTACAGAATAAATGCAATCGTGCATCTATCAACAGGATCAAGACTATTCCAAGCTGTTAAACATTAGCTATTGGTACAAGACAATATGGAAAAAACAGACAAATTAACAAGTGAATTTAATGCTCCCTTTTAAAATGTGTTATTTCTTGATAGTGCGACACTGCACGAAACTAGACGTTGACAAGTGAGGGTAAACGTATCGCGTTGGTCTAAAGGCGAAGGTCATATTCACAGATCCGTATGTCCGACCATGAAGTCTTTATAATAATACTGTGGCCTACGTGTTGCCTGTGAATTCATTATGGACCATGGAATCATGGTGCTTTCAAGACAACTGGGAACTCAGAAAAAAAAGGACGTCAAATCATGTCGTCAATGGTCTTCAGGTCGGAAAGTCGGAGCGCTAGAAAGATGCCCAAGTTTCCAACTTGGAATTCCGAGATGGATGACCATTCAAAACGATTTTTCCCAGTCGGAGCTCGTTTTCTTTCGAGTTCCCAGTTGTCTTGAACGATCTGAAGTTGGAAGTCAGAGATTTCCGAGTTCCCAGTTGTTTTGAACTTGGCATCAGTGTCTATTAGTGGCATGGGCGTCTCCCGAGTGGCGCAGTGGTCTAAGGCACTGCATCGCAGTGCTAGCTGTGCCACTAGAGATCCTGGTTCGAATCCAGGCTCTGTCGTAGCCGGCCGCGACCGGGAGACCCATGGGGTGGCGCACAATTGGCCCAGCGTCGTCCAGGGTAGGGGAGGGAATGGCCGGCAGGGATTTGGCTCAGTTGGTAGAGCATGGCGTTTGCAACGCCAAGGTTGTGGGTTCGTTTCCCATGGGGGGCCAGTATAAAAAAATTAAAAATAAAAATAATAATGTATGCACTCACTAACTGTAAGTCGCTCTGGATAAGAGCGTCTGCTAAATGACTAAAATGTAAATGTATTAGCTTCTCGTCCGCAACACTAAAAAAGTACTTCCGGGTCACGGAATTTTGTAAAAAATTTAAATAAAAAAGTCCCCCACAGATCGAACATCTCTGGAGAGACCTGAAAATAGCTGTGCAGCGACGCTCCCATCCAACCTCACAGAGCTTGAGAGGATCTGCAGAGAAGATTGGGAGAAACTCCTCAAATACAGGTGTGCCAAGCTTGTAGCGTCATACCCAAGAAGACTCGAGGCTGTAATCGCTGTCGAAGGTGCTTCAACAAAGTACTGAGTAAAGGGTCTGAATACTTATTTAAATGTGGTATACGTTTTTTTATTTTGTATAAATTAGCAACCTGTTTTTGCTTTGTCATTATAGGGTATTGTGTGTAGATTGATGAGGGGGGGAAAAAAACTATTTAATCCATTTTAAAATAAGGCTGTAACGTAACAAAATGTGGAAAAAGTCAAGGGGTCTGAATACTTTCCGAATGCACTGTATATGTCCTCTTAAATATAACTACATGTAATCTAAAATGTAATCTACATAATCCCCGAAAGTAATTATTTATCACGAGACGACCATAAACAATAACTAGTAATGCTGGATATGCCAAGAAAGGTTTAAATCTCACCTTTCTGGTAAAAATAGTTATATATTGCTGAGGTGTAGTCACTTTTGAGGACACACGCTCAAGTGCACAGTACAAATATGATAAGAAAAAATGAAATATTTTATGACATATTTCCTATTCAACAAAACTGTATGAATAAGGCTAGAAATGACAGATGCTTTCTAAATATAGTATAATCAAATTATAAAACAACTAACTATAAGACTTCCTTATAACTGTAAATACATATCTGTATATTTAGTGGTAGAGAAATGTGCATATTTTCTAAAGGTCTCTCTTGATCAAAACATCTGCACCCACCGCTGTGATCTCCTTAGGCACTGGCCTTTCATCTCATATTAGTTCCCAGCTATGACGAACAGAAAGTGTTTTTTGTTTAAAATCTATTCATTATTTTAGATCATGAGGCATTACGTCCATCCCTACATCACTACAGTAACCATGCTAAACCATCGATCACATCACTAGGAGTTATAATGAAAAATTATCAAAAACTGGATGTTTACTTTAGTAAGTTATTTCCATGTGTTACTAAACTCACCCCATGGACATAAGGTATTTAACAAAACCCCAGTTCCAGGGCCCATGGCCTCATCAGTGAAGATGCCTCTGAATAACAGGAAAACAACTTTATATTTACCATGTGGCCTTGTTTTATTAGCCAACAGTGTACAGCCTGAGACCCTTTTTTTTGGACTAAATTACCTTTTCAATTGCTTCCAAATTGCAATCACTGTAGTCCTATGTAACCCAATAAG